CAAAAGAAAGAGCTCTATTACCTACCATAACTGTACTAACACCACTCCAAATCGATCGACCGGTTTCCTTCGCTGCCCCACACACACTAGAAACTCTACGGCTAATCACTAATAGCGAATGCAAATTCTTAGGCTTCTCCTGAAACTCTCCTGAGCTCAGCTCCAAGGTCAACTTGCCCAACCTAATTGTCTTCTTAATCAGGTCGTAATCCAGTACCACATTCAGCACGTGGTTTTTAATCTCAGTCTCTACTACCACCATCCGTTAACATAATCTCCACCCATAAGATTCGTAAATAAAAATGCTTTGGTCTATCCTGCAATAAATCATGGAAACCATCAGAGTACAGGTCTTTGGATCTTTAGAATTCACACAATTACTCAGACCTTTCCTCATTTCCTGATTTATGCAATTAGCTAAACCTTATTTGGCATTCGAATAATTCCGCAATATTTAGCTTCAAGAGAAATTAAGCGACGTTTCAACAATCCAACTTCTGTGGCCCTCTGTTTACCCGATCCCTATACAAATCAGTACTTGGAAAATCTGAACACTGAGTAGGGGATGTTCAACGGAAATTCTTTTAGTTTTTTTCTATGTGACAAAGCTGTAGGGTTGTCTTCATCTCAACTGTCTGACGTCCTTTTCTTTTTTTCTTGCGCACCCGAGTCGCTTTGTCTGCCGCCTCGCGTGAGTGCATGGCGTCAGCTACCTCCAGCAACCTCACAACTCGGCTCAGCACTCTTCTGCCTCCGCCTCCAAGTAGCTGGGTCTCCACAGGCCATGCACCCCATGCTCGGCTAATTTTTGATATATGTTAGTTGGCCAATTAATTTCTTTCTATTTATAGTAGAGACGGGGTCTCGCTCTTGATCAGGCTGGTTTCAAACTCCTGACCTCGAACAATCCGCCTGCCTCGGCCTCCCAGAGTACTAGGATTACAGGCGTGCCACCGCGCCCGGCCAAATGTTGACGTCTTTAAGGAAGAAATTATGTCTAGGATTTGCTTGAAAATAATCCAATAGGTGTAGGGATGGAATAGAGCAGAAACACGGTTGGCACGAGCTGATAATTGTTGAAGCTGGGTGATGGGTACATGGGGGGTTGTCATATTATTCTCTGTACTTTTGTGTATGTTTGAAATTTCTGCAATAAGTTAATAAAAGAACCCAGCAAGACTAAAAAAAATAAAAAGGTTGCAGATTCCCTTTCAAAATCCTACAATAAACAATGAGCTAGCCTTTTCCTTTACAGTTGCAGGAAAAGGAAAAAAAATCCTCATGAAAATAGACAAGTTTAACAAAAAGCAGCACCTTGTTTCTTATGCGATCTCTCTTAACCACTTCCTCTTTCTTTTCTGTTTTTTCTGAGCTGCCTAATGATTCTGTACTTTCATTCTTCTTTCCTTTATCCCGAAGTGCTTCTTTCTCTTTTTTCATTTCTTCTTCTTTTCTTTTAAAAGCCTTCTCTTTCTCATAACGCTCCTTCTGCCTACGGCGCTCTTCTTCTTGGCGCTTCAGCCTCTCCCTTTCTCGAAGTATGCGCTCCTGATCTCGTTCATAATCCCGTTCTCTCTCTCTGTAGTCTCTGCCACTGTCATCTTCAGATCTGTGAGAAAAACAAATCTGAGATAGAACCCTCAAAGATCTTGTAATCACAAATGCAAGAACACAGTGATTCTGACTTGGCCACTGCAATGAGGATATACTTTTAGAGCAGAGTGAAAAACACTAAGTGTTTTGTTTTGTTTTGTTTTGTTTTGTTTTTTGAGACAAAGTCTTGCTTTGTTGCCTAGGCTAGAGTGAGTGCCATGGTGTCAGCCTGGCTCACAGCAATCTCCATCTCCTGGGCTCAAGCAATCCTGCTGCCTCAGCCTCCGGAGTAGCTGGGACTACAGGCATGTGCCACCATGCTCGGCTATTTTTTTCTATATATATTAGTTGGCCAATTAATTTCTTTCTATTTATAGTAGAGTCCTCTAAAAAAAAATTAGACATTTTACCCATTACGGAAAAAAGACCTTGTTGAACTTTAGACCTAGGGATAATTATTTCTAAGCAGTGTTTTTAATTCCCCCATTAGTCCTTTTTTTTTGAGACAGTCTCACGTTTTGTTGCCCCTGGCTGAGTGAGTGCCGTGGCATCAGCCTCAGCTCACAGCAACTCCTCAAACTCCTGGGCTCAGAGCGATCCTCCTGTCTCAGCCTCCCAAGTCAGCTGGGAAACTATCGACATGCACCACATCACCCGGCTTAATTTTTTTGTATACTATATTTTTAGTTGGTCAATTAATTTCTATTTTTCAGCTAGAGACGGGTTCTCGCTCAGGCTGGTTTCGAACTCCCCGGACCTCGAGCATCCGCCTGCTTGGCCTCCCCAGCAGTGCTAGGATTAGCCAGGCATGACCACCATGCCCGGCCACCATTTATCCTAATTAAGATCTATATCAACAATACCAATTGTGAAACATTCTCCACTGTAACTACCTCAGCTGCCTCTCGCCTCGCACCAGAATTGGCCATTCCATACCATCACATATGGCATTCTCGCCAGTCCCTTGGCGCGAGCGGACTTGTTAAAAAGTTGCAGTTACTTAATTAAAAATGAAGACTGGTCCCAAATACCCTTCAAATTCGCGTCAATTCCTCTGTTTGGGTAAATCAACGAGAGAAACCTCCTACAAAAAAATTGTATATCCAGAACTTGTAAGACAAATGGTTACAGACCTTGTTTGTAATGCACTGATAAAACTGAAGAAACAGCCTGGAAAGTCTCGTGACAGGCAAAATGCATATACTTACTGTCTTAGATTGGGTATCCCGCCCAAAGCCAGATCCCCAAAGACTGAAAATTTCAGGTGAAACCAGTTTATTTGGTAGGGTCATACCAGAAAGCACCAAATGGGGTGTGGAAAAATGAGAGACCGGGAAGGTAAGAAAGCCAGTTCTATATCAAGATCAGTGAGCAGGTTCTTATTGGGTAATAAGCCTCAATACTGGCTGAGGTACCCGGGGAAATGGAAGAGGACAGCTTCGGAGTATTAGTACACCACTCATTGGGTGGGGGCTTATCTCAGATTTGTTAACTCCCTGCCTTGTGTGTGGCGCTGAACACCACCGTCACTTGCTACGTCCCTAGGTGCTTTGCAGTAAGCACTGCTGGTGTGCAAATGCAACAGTGCAATGCTAAACAAGACCACTTCAACCGCAATTCCATATGTTTTATGTGTGTAAGATATTTTTCATACTTTTTTATGTAAGTAAAAAATATAAAGCCACACTGTGATTTATCTGATAGCCCACACCAAGGTTTATTTAAATATTTTCCTATATTCTAAAATAGAGAACAGGATGACCGAATTAACACCGTTCAGGTGCAAGATGATGGTAGTTTGACCAGAAGAACTGGGCATAGTGAGGAAATCCTGATTTAGGATAATCTTTTAACATTGGAGTAGCAAGATTTTCTGATGGAGTTTGATTTTGGTTTAGGCTTGTGGAGTTTGAGACAGCCATTAAGGAAAGAAAGACGAGAAGAATAAAAACAAAGATGAGAACATGGAACCCATGGCCAAAAAGTGGAAATAAAATATTTTACGACAAGCAAAGACTCAGGGTTACCTGCCACATAGCCTTTTGGAAAGCTG